GCAACGAATGGTCATCCTATCGATTCAGAGGCATAGGTACTCCCTCTCTGGCCCCCCCAACACACTCGTCGAGACGAAATAAACCTCCCGCCATAGAGAAGAGATCTCGACGTCTGGGTCCCCTCGATCACCCTTCCCTTTCACCTGAACTGGTCGAGAGAGATGAACCCGCACCACATACATTTTCTAACCTTCGAACCGAAACCCCCAACTAGAGATGGRTATCGATAACAAATTCAAATTAGTTGGAAATATGGCATCAACCTTCTAGATTCGGAAAAAGAAAAAATCAAAATAGTCTTAAAACATAAGTCTATTCGTATCAATGATAAATTATTTTAGTACGTAAATTTAAAAAAGAAATTAGATAAAAATATCTAAATAGGAACGTGAAAAATTTAGAAATAGTCATATTTACGAAATTATAATCTTATTGCTATATTTACATCATGGCCTACTAATCCCTTGAAAAGTTTCTTTAATTTTTATAGTTTATTTCTCCAAAACATTATCGTATTTATAGCTTTCCTCAGGTGACATGTTAACTCATGTCCTTTTTCTGTTAGATTTGGAGAGAACATGCTAAAATAAAACAATGTCACATCAGACAATTGCCATCTTTTACTAATCTTCAACATTTTGTGTAGAAAAGAAAAAAAAAACATTATAAAAAAATGTTTAATAGATTCTTGAACTTCCCCCGTCTAATAGCCTGGTGAATTTTTAATTTTGCAGGTAGATGCTTGATTCATGATATGTATTTTAAGGTGATGTGACTTATTTGAACACAACCTTTTTTTTAATTTAAAAATTTGTTTAGATATAACATTAAAAGTGTAGAGATCCCTTTTCAAATACTTTTTGAAATCAAATACTTTTAAAAGTGTAGAATTAATCCTGCCAACATTTTCATTGCTGCTATTGCCAACATTTTCAAAACGTGAGCATAGCTGATTCTCTAACAATGTTTTCAAAACGTCGGTACATGTATAGCTCTCTTCGACATATAGTTTGGTCAACATTTTAAAAATATCGGAAGAACTTTTCATCTACCAGCGTTTTGCAAATTGTCGACAAAATTATAGATCTTCCAACATTTTATAAACGTCGGAAGAATTATCCTTCTACCAACCTTTTGCAAACGTTAGTAGATTTATAGTTTTACCGATCTATTACTAAAAAAAGATCAGTAATATTTATTTGATTTTTTTAAAAAATAAAATGCGCTCATTTGAATTTCGACATTCTGGAGAGACCCGATTTTAAAGTCAAATATCAAACGATATATATAATTAAAATATCAAATAATATCAAATACCAAAATATTATTAACTCTACAAAAGTTCTTGCACCTTTAATATGTTTCAAAAGTTACATAAATACAAATAAACCTAGTTAAAGTTTCATGTCTTTCAAAAGCTACCTGATAAATTTTTTGTCGGGATTAAATATAATAATGTATTAAGCCAATTTTTTATTTTATTTTTTAGAAAATTACAATATAAATGGAAAAGTACTTCTATGTCTAAGTTTGTTAAAGTTATCTTTCTCAGTGAGAGTTCATTAAAATTTCTATAAAAACATGTATGTATATTTTTTTTTGTCAAATGTAAACATAGTTCAATAGTTAAAATATTTTTTTCTTTCCTAAAATAGTATCTTCGAGTATTCTTCTTATATTTTATGATATAATATTCTAAAACACAAACATATATATATTAAATAAAAATTAAAAGTGGACTAAAACTAGATTTAATTTTATCATTTTTGTTTAGGCTTTTTATATTTTCATCTTTTTAAATAATTTATTTCTAAGCATATTTCCAAAATTTGTTAATTTTAATACAATTTAATTATAATTTTTAATTAATTACTAATAACTAAAATTTAAAAACGGTTATTAAGATAATAAAAATTAATGAAGGGTGAAAGAGAAAATTAAAAGTTTCCATCTTTAAATTTTTTTAATAATATAAATAAATAATCAATTATGAATCTTTATACGAGAAGGAATGAATAAAAAAATTAATGAGTTTAAAATAAATTGATTTCTCTTTCGAATCCAATGAATGAAGGTGGTGATTCGAAATCATAATATTTTGGTAAAAGAAAATAGGCCTCGTTGAGTTATACAGAATTTCCAAAGGTTCATAATTATTAGATTCTCTAGTTTAATGATAACTCCCTCTCTAATAAATCATGGAAACAAGAGTAATGGAGAATGTATAATGTAGATTTCATTTTACATTTACTCTTATTAATTTAAGAACTTTCTATTAAAGGGAGAGGAGAAATAATTCCCAAGATTGTAATAAATAAATCAGAAATGTTGGATAGAAATATTTAATGTGGTGTCATGATGATATATAATGAATTTATTTTTCTTTTCTCACTCAAGTCATTTTCAGTTTATTTAACATCCAAATACGTAATGTGATTTAGGATAATATATACACTAGCGAGTGAGCAACACACATGTAAAATTTATAATTTTATTATTATTATTTTAGGAGTAATTTTTTTTGTTCAAATACAAATCTCTCTCAAATCCTCTAATTTTATCTCTCTTACTAAAGACTATTGGTGTGAGCAACTACTAAAACATCGCTCTCTCTTTT